CTCACAGCAAGCACAAGTTACCGCTGTACAGCAACTTTTACAACAGTGATATACAACCTAGAGGAATGTTTGAACAAAAACAATGAAAGGCCCGAGGACTGCAGATTAAAAGTCACCCACCTTTATACAGTATTGTTGTTGTTGTTCTGATTCATTTGTTTTTTGATGAAAAAGTCAAGTTTTAGGCACCTCATAAATATATTTCAAGCCCCCGATTACTATAATTAAGAAAAAAATTAGTATTCTTGTTTTGATTTTCATTAGGCAAATTAGCCAAGCCATGTATACTTTTCTGAGCTGAAAAATTGTTAGAAATCTTCTATAAGGGCCAAAGAAGCACTTTTTGTATTAGTATTAATAATTTCTAGCAATTGAAACAAATAGGTCTATCTTGGGGAGGGTGAAACCAAGTTTCTCCTTAGAGGCTAGGATTTTGAAGCTCCGTCTCACATACTTTGGGCACGTGGCCAGGAGGGAATGATCCTTGGAGAAGGACATCATGTTCGTAAGGGTGGAGGGACAGCACAGGAGAGCAAGACTCTGCATGAGCTGGATTGATGCAGTAATTAGGGCAATGGGGGGTAGGTATGTTGGAGTCAGTGAGACTGGCTCAGGACAGGGCAGGTTTAGTTGCTATGAACTGCAGGCAACTTGATGACACATAACAACCACAACAATATCAACTAAAATATAGATCAATAAAAGGCTAAAACAAAGAGAATATTACAGAAACCATGGGAATAACATTGGATGGTTTCTTTGTAGTATCATCACATGTAGAAATGTTCTCACACCACGTACTTGAGAAAGAACATTTTAAATTAGGGCAATCAAAATTTGTTGTAATCATTACAAACCTACTTTATCTCTAAACATACGTCTGTTAAACTAATCAGTTCCTGTGACCAGTGTGTAATGATCATGAGTAGTATATTCATTTGTTCCAGTTTAGTTTTATGACTCAAATACTTAGTTTCTTACATTCAAGGTTAACTTTTTTAAAAAACAGAAGTGACTCTGAAATTTAATAGAACTATTTGTGGTTTTGGCTTATATGTGGTAAGGTGACTTTATTGGCTTCTTTTATCAGAACTGGCATGTAGGATATTAATATATGTTTTTATTTTGACCATGTTATTAGAAACCCATATATCATTGAGGTGAAGTGGTTACAGGTAGACTTGAAAAGAAATTAAGTTATACTGAATCCTGGATAAAGGTATGCTATTAAAAGGAAGATCCCCATTGCCATCAATTGTCTTCTGACTCATAATGCGTAGAAGTGCCTCAGAGCATTTCCAAAGCTGTAAATCTTTATAAACACAAACTGCCTTATCTTTTTTACAGAGGAAAGGTTAGTGGGTTCAAACTACTAACCTTTTAATACACCACCAGTTATTTAAGCATTGTATCAGAGCTCTGCAGACTTCCGAGTAGACTTAAAGAGTAGACTTCAGTTTGTTGTTGTTGCTTTTTTAATTCTGATGTATCATGAATAAAGCAGAATATTAGGAGGTCAAAACCATCAAGAAAATCATAACATTTCCTTTCTGTTGCCTTAGTTCCCCACACTTGAGCAAGAGAGGAATTACTTCTAAGTTATAATTCTTAATAATGTAAAAGTATGAAAATAGTATTGAATCTGGCTCACTATCACTCATTTCCAGAAGAGTAAATTGAAAAGCTCTTATAAGAAGGGACCCAATTAGAATCATGGAACTGATAGTATAAGCAATGCAAAAAGGACTCAGTTTCTTGAATTTTAGTCCACTACTCACTCTTGATACTTACAACTTTTAAAAAATAATTTTTCCTTATGTATAATACATTCTCATTAGTAAGACTCTTTAAAGGGAATATTGTGCCGTGTTACCTCAGTTGAAGAGGGTTTACAGTGCAGAAAATACATATGAATAAGCCGAATATCTCAGCACTTACTAAGTTAGATTTTAAAAAGAACAACATTAAACTTTTGCATAAATGTTCCTTGCAGCATAATTCATAATACCTCTAAAGTAGAAATAGCCTATTTGTCCACTAGCCGGTGATTAATGGATTATGTGTAGGACTGCTAACTAAAAAGCCAGAGGTTTGACTCCATCAGCTGCTCTACGGAATAGTGGGCTCTCTTATCCTGTAGAGATCTACCTCCTCAGAAACCGGATGAAGGGTAGCCAGGGATCAGAGTGGATTTGAGGACAGTGGTTTGGATTTTTTTATATACATACACTAGAACATTGTTCTTTTATTGAAAAAATAGAAATGAGATACTACAATAGTATAAACATTGAAGTATCCAGAATATAAAATTATGTGGGAAGAAAATTTAATTATTAATTACTTTGGAGTAGGGGAGAGGCTAGGGAAAGAATAGAAATGGGTAGGAAGTTTCTTTTGAGGTGGTGAAAATGTTCTCAACTTAGATAAGCAGTTACAAAATTAAAATGCCAGAAATGCTGAACAGTACAAACTATAAATGGTGTATGAAGGCTGAACTATATGTACTTTGTGTTTTATTATATTAAACTTATCTTCAATAAATTTCTGAAAAGAAAAGATGACTAATCTTTGGAATGTTTTAATCTTCTTGTGACACTTGAGATGTAGACATCACTTTCCCTTGAATCTGTTCATAACACTGATATTTCTAAGTACTGACTTAAATTTCTGCTTGTTTTCCCTTATTTTCCTTTTATAATCCTTCCTATTCTTATTGCCTTCCCCATTAAGAATTCTACCCAGAGAGAAAATATGATGAATTGATTTGTTAATTACTACCAGTGATAGGCATGTTCTTTTCAGGGCATATGATAGCTTATTTTTTTATTTGTTGTCATAAAACTATTGGTTCTGATTCCATAGTTATGAATTTCGTTTTTTTTCCTACATAGTCCATGTTTGCTGTGAGTCAGAATTGCTTGTATAACAGTTAGATTTTTGTTTTGTTTTTACAAATACATAGCATGTACAGGTTATAAAGCCCTTTAGGACCAGCTTTGAGTCAGTTCCAACACGTTGATAATGAGTTTGAAGTTTTGAATACAGAACTTGTGAAGTGGTCATCAAGTGGTAAGCATTTGAGGTCACCTAGTATAGTACATGACAAGCTTTAGTATCCAGATTCTTCTTGTTGAGAAGGTGAAATTATTTTTTAAAATTTTCACTTGAGAATAAAAATTTGAAATGCAATATTACGTGACTAGGAAGTGTGTGAGCTGGGGCCTGATTCCACATCTTCAGTATGCCTACCTTGCCTCACCCCTGACATTTTTACACTGTTTTTCTTGATTGCTATGTGAGAAATCTTACTTAAAACGTACTTCAGAAGCATGTAAATAGTCTTTTTTTTTTTTCTTACCTTGCAGCTTTTAACAACAAAACTGAGTCACTCTTTTCAAATAACAGGTCATTTAAGTGAGCTGTGTTATTTTTTTGTCCTCCAAAATTCTCAGTGAAAACCAAACATTTACATGGTCAAATATCTACTTCTTCACATTTGTAAAGAAAATTTTTTCCCACCATCTTTTTCTGCTTCTTATTGTTATGTGAATTGAATTCCCTGGGATTCACTGTGATCCTATGAATGACAGATCAGAAGCTTGCCCTATCTTGTACCATCCTTGTGATTTCTTGACATGTTTGAGTCCATCGTAACGTCACTGTATCGGTTCGTCTGCTTAAGGGCTGTCTTCTCTTTCTCTGAGGACAGCACTCTCTGTTTGCCAGTATGATGGTCTCTTCTGACTACATGCAAAAGAAATGTGAAGCAAACAAGGTTTCACTGTCCTTGTCTCTGAAGGATTATGCTGATTACAGTCTGCCAAGAGAGACTTGCTTTTTCTTTTGACGGTTATTCAGGACTCTTTGCAAACATCACAATTAAAAGGCATCGATTCTCCGTCGTCATTCTTATTCCAACTTTAGATGGTCCTTGGAGAAGGACATCATCTTGGAAGGGTGGAAGGCCAGTGCAGGAGAGGAAGACCCGGGAACAGAGGAGAGGAAGACCCCAGATGAGACGGATTGATACAGTAACTGGGGCAATGGGTGTTGGTATGTTGGAGTCAGTGAGACTGGCTCAAGACAGGACAGGCTTTAGACTGTTGTACATATTCAGTATGAGTCACAGATGACTCAATGGTACATTGCAACAACAACAACAACAACTATAAAATATTTTATTTTTCTGACACCAGTTATAGGAATGCAGCAAATCTTCACTTTTCAATTTGGTCACTTCTGACATTATTGCCCTCCTCATTGCTTCTGACCCTAATCACTCATAATTAGGTAAAAGTTCAAGTAACTTGTCCTCCAGAATGTCAAGTTAGCCGTGACACCCGGAACATCAGGTGCCAGTCACAAGGCAGCCACATCCTTACTTCTGACCTGGTTAAAATTTTTAGTTTCCTGCTACCATTTCAGTTTGTTAGGTGCAAGTTTGGAGCTCCTCTGACCTCCCTCACTTCTGATTTTCTGGCTAAAAATTCCCAAGTTACTCCCACAAGATACCAGCTGTAAACTCAGGGTTTCCCCAACCTTCTTCACTTCTACTGGCTTTCACTACTTCTTTGGGCTTGATAATTCACTGGAATGACTTGGAGAATTAACAAAAATCCTATGCTTAGAATTACAGCTTTATTATACCAATCCAAATCCAAAATCACTGCCACCAACTCACTTCCAACCCATAATGACACTTCATTAGATATCTGAGGCTGTGACTCTTTAGAAAAGGAGACTGACCATCTTTTCTCCCATGGTGCAGTTAGTGCTTTTGAACTGTCAACCTGTTGGTTAACAGCTCAGCATGTTATATACTACACCACCAGCTAGGTACAGACATAAAGGAGATACATGGTGTGGAAACTGACACCACTCACAACATGGAGTTTCTGTGTCCTAGAGAATACATTCCCCTTCTTGTGCACTGAATTCTTTCATCAACCAGGAATCTCTTGGGTCATGTATCCAGAAATTGTATGTAATTGTGAGCGCTCATGGCTTGTTGGTAAGCAGCTGCACTGCGATACCAAAGACATGTAGTTTGAATGCACCAGCTGCTTCCTCAGGAGAAAGATGGGCAGTCTCTTCCTGTGTGATTTACTGTTTCTGAAAACACACTGGACGGTCAGCTGTGGGTTGGTTCCTATTCAGTAGTACGCAACAAAGTAATGTATTACAAAGTTCAGGCTCTTCTCTAAGATTAGTTAATATCATGGGGTGATCACAGGTATTAATGTGGTGAATCTTTCTGTGCTGACCAGCCCTCACCCCAGAGACACCTGGAATCACACACCGTCAACACAAAGGTATATGATTCAAATCCACCAGCTGTTCGACAGGAGAAAAATGGGCAGCCTCTTCTCATGGCTTGCTGGAGAGTCAACAACATGTTAGAAACCTTTATATTTAAAGTATCTACATAGCTATCATTAGATGGCACACAACAACAACATTTAGCTGTCACATTTTTCATAATAAAAATTCATGCAAACTAATAAAAATGGGCAAAAGACTTGGACTGGCACTATACAAAGGAAGATAAAAGTATAACTTCCTTTGTCACTCTTCACATTCTCATCAGGTCAGAACTGACTCTCCGTTGCATCTTCAAGGCTGTAAATTGTACGGGAGGAGATTGTCCATTTTTCAGCTGAGGAGCAGCTAGTGGATTTGAATCTCCCATCTTTGAGAGTGCACTGCAGGTTCTTATCACAAGGCCACCAGAACTCAAAACAGAGTTTGAATGATCTGAGTAGCACATGGACAAGGTCTAAACATCACTAGATATTGGGGAAACGCAGATTAATGGAATACTAATACCAATTTGCAGTTTTGGAGATCTTTTTTTCTGTTTATCCCTGTACTTGGCACTTCCTTCTCTGCTACTGTAGTCTCTCCACCATCCCTTTTCTTATATCTTGTGGCTTTTGTCTACTTAGATTCCTGCTACTTCTTTAAATGCATTTATTGTGTGTATCTTTTTGTGTGTTTTCTTACATCTTCCTTACTAATTTTAGGCTAATTCTGACAATTTCCAAGAGAGTAAATAAAATCAGATTATGTTCTCATGTAGGGCAAAGCTGTTGTACTGCTACTGTCTTGCCCAGAAATAGATGCTTTTAGCCTAATGTTCCATCTCTACCCCAATTAGCTCCAACCTGGGTACTGAGATTGTGACAATAAGAGTTTTCATTCATTTTCTTTACTGCTCTAATTCTGTGCCTTGATTAATATTTGTCATAAGAAGACATGAAAAACTATACATATAAAATAGAGTCCTTTTATTTATTCATTTTAAAATAAACGAGTCACCTCCGAGGAAGAGATTGAACGTGACTATTTCTCTTGTAAGACAGGCAAGAGTAGCACTCTTAGGGATCCATGTGCTTTCTCATTGTTTTAGATGATCTGTTGTTAGTGGTTGTCATGTCAATTTCAATTCATGACAGTGATAACTGTAACAGAAACAAACTTCACCTAGTCTGGTGCCATCTTCATGATGGTTATTAAATTGCAGCCATTGTCAGTCTGTCTCATTGCCCTGTACTTTCCCAAGCATCATGTCTTTCTCTAGAAATTGTTCTTTCCTTAACAAAGGAGCTTCTAAAATAAGAAAGTCAACCTCTTAGACAGTCTTCTGATCCTTAGGGTTTTTATTGGCCCATTTTTGGAAATAAATCTGTAATTCTTCTGTTTGTCATGAATGACCCTGCTGATGTTTGAAATAGCAGTTACATTCCCAATTACAAACACAGTGACTCGCATCATAGCAATATACAAGCCACCTCTTTATGACAGGTCGTTGGTAAGTGTGAAGATCTAAAAATACTGTAATAGTTATGAATATTGATTTTGGAACCAGAGTCATAGTTTAATCACAAGAAGCAGTTATTCTTGGTTTGTGACAAATTATTTAATCTCTTATTGCTGCAGTTTTCATTTATGCCAGTGGTAATAATAGCCCCTAGGGAGATGAGCTGCTGCTAATCCCAAGGTGGTTTGGATAAACCAGTGGCTCTATAGAAGAGAGGCAATCTCTTTAGGTTACAGATTCCAAAACCCCACTGATTTTAAAAATCGACTATGACTCTTAACACAGAAACAATAAAATAAGGCTAATTGCATTGTTGTGGAGATGAAAAGATTGAATGATGTCTGATATCTACAATAGGAACTGACACAATATGTAAATGACTGTACTTATTACTATTTTTATTATTGTTAATACTGGTTTTGGGGAGGAAACAGCTTTATTCAATCAGATACAAAATGCAAATTGGGACTTCCAGAGTCCATAATCTCTTTTTAGCAATATAGTTTTTGAGACAAGACTTTTCTTTCTTGTTCTTTCAGTTATCCTTTTCTCTTATTTTGGAAAACAAAGGAAAGTTACAGAGATGTTTAAACATTATAAATCATTTTGGAAATTTAAACAACATTTTGAAATCAGTAGAGGGAAAAAGACACAATAAAGCTTTCCCCAAGTCTGTTTCATCCCAATTTTGCTTTCTTTTAATGGACTTGTATCCTTTCGTCTGCATTCTCAGCCCCTCCCACCAAAGACAGGCGTGCTCAGTGCTCCCAACACACACATCACTGATGCTGTCATTTATATCTTTTTTAAGGGAACCTTTAATTATCAATCCCAGAACATCCTATAAATCTTAATTAGGAAATTCCTTCTGAACTTCTGCTGAAAAGTAGTTACTGTGCACTGTGTGTATAGCAGCTGTTTGCCTGTGTTAGAAAAAAAAAAATTTGACCGTTTTAATTTGCTTTAAAAATATCCACTGGCACTGGTTCTCATTACAGATGTGTGGTTGTAACATTTCATTTTTTAAATGTGTATCCACCTTTTTTCAGTCCTAGAGGAGTCCAAAGAAACCATCTAAAACCTTAAAAATAACCACTAAACCTACAGTGTTTTTGGTTTTAAAAAATTCTCAAGGGAGGACATTTTTTATCTTGGACTTAAGCTTCATACAGGGTGGCCCATTTAAAAGAGGCCCTGTACACAGCCACATTATTAAATAGGAACTGTTTTAAATGGGCCACCCTGTAAATCAGGCACTTCCCCCCCCCCCTTCTCTCACTCTCTCCCAATGGATATTTGCTTCTTTGCGAGTTTTAGTGCAAGTTTTCAGTTCTTGTGCTTGGTAGGCAGCTCTCCGCTTTAAGTGAGTGCACCTTGGTGGCGGCTGCAGCGACCCCAGCCCAGGTCTTGTGAGTGAGCTCACGCTCTGAGAGATTGTGTTCCATCCCTTTGAAAATGTGGCCAACATTCTGCGTGAATCTCCTTTTTCAAAACATTTCTTTTTAGATGGATGAAATACAAATAAACTGAAAATGGAAACTTTTAACATAAACAGTCATACAACTTTGGATATCCATTTACTGGAAATCTTTGAAAAAACAGGAAAGGTGTCCATTTTGGGGGAGTAGTTTCGGGTCAGTAGTTTTTCATATTTTCAGTCCAAAAGTTTTCAAACAAAACGCTATTCTTTTCAGTTACCAAAAATGTACTCTGAAAGAAATGAATTAGAAATAAGATTTTCATTGGAGTTATAATCTGTCTGATCCAGTTTTTACTCAGGCTCACCCCAACATTCACAGGGCACAGAGCAAGAATATAAATGGCGGCCTGGTACCAGATATCATAAAACCCAATCCCACTGCCATCAAGTTAATTCTTTCTCATAGTGAACCTGTCGGCCCTGTATGGACTGCCCTGTAGGATTTTCAAGGCTGTGATCTTGAGGAGCTAGATTGCTACATGCTTTTCTTGTGAAGTTATTGGTAGGCTTGACCTACCCACCTTTCTGTTAGTAGCCAAGCACTTAAACACTGCACCACCAAGTATCTTTGAAATCACTCACTCCTGTTTGCAACTGGTACCTTAAAATTGTCTTTAATTGTTTTTGGTGAAACATTCTTCTAGGTTGTAAAGCCCTGGTGTGTCCACTTGCCATAAAGAGGTAACTTGTAGTAGCTGTGAAGCCTGCACACCGTGACACTAACGTGTCAAATGCAATAATGGTTACCCATGGTGGACAGTGGTGGAGGTTTCCAGTTAAAAAAAACAATTTAGAAGCAGGATCTTGGAAGTGGCATCTGCTTCCATAAATAGCTCGCCTCCAGAAACCCTGTGAACCTGGAAAAAGGATGAAATTCACCCAAGTGTTGAGGATTTTCGTTCATAGGGTCACTATGAGTCGCCTAAGACTTGACAGCACTTAACAACAACCACCTTAAAATGGACGATTCTTTTGCGTTCATGCTGACTGCAAGGAGAATTTGTGAAGCTAGACATTTCCACCAGTTAATCCTCCCCACTCTTCAAAGGCAGCAGGTATTTCCCATGTCAGCATTTTGATGCAGTAACCTTTAATTTATTTTGATAAAGATGAAGTTTTTTTTTCATGGGATGTGAATGGTGTTAGCTATGAGAATGGATGTTTTGGGTCATTTTGTGCCTGTTGGTTATTGATAATGTTCTTTGTAATAGTGGAGTTGAGAACAGACTTACTCATATGGGAAAGAGTTATTAGGAAGGCCAGATTTATGATTTCTCAGTGGCAGAAATTTCAAACTCTGTTTAAAAACAAATGGGATCTGTATCTCTAAATTTGTGCTTAATTGGCTGTCAAAAAGAGGTCTTTGATGACATTTCTCCAGCTCTAGGTAATTTTTGCCCAAACTAGTTTTTTAATTTAAAATAAAATTTTTATTTTATACTGGTTTACTTACAAATTTCATATACATTCTTTTCCACACCAGATTTTTCTCCTTTCCTTTACCCACTCCTCCCTCCACTCATCAAATTGTGTGATCCTATGATTAACCACTCTACCTCCCCCGCCCTCCCTCAAGCCCATCCTCATCTCTCTGCTCCCTCATGGATCCTCATACACGTTCTACAGTAATGGTCTTAGACCGTATTTGCTATTATGGGACTGAGTTTGTTTACTTGATATAATGCTATCCAGTCCCTCCAAAGTTAGGTAG